TTGTATGCTGTCTTAGTTAGGGTTTCTGCTGCTGTGAAGAGACACTTTGACCAAGGCAATTCTTTTAAAAGAAAACATTTAATTGAGGGCTTGATTACAGTTTCAGAGGTTAGTCCCTTATCATCACGGCAGGGAGCATGGCAGCAGGCAGGCAGGCATAGTGCTGGAGAGGTAGCTGAGAGCTACATCCTGATCCACAGGACCAGAGAGACTCTGGACTTGGCATGGGCTTTTGAAACCATAAAGCCTACCTCTAGTGACCTACTTCCTCCGACAAGGCCACACTTTTCTGATCCTTTCAAATAGCATCATTCCCTGGTGACCAAGGATTTGAGTGTATGAGCCTCTGGGGGCTGTTCTTATTCACACCGCCACATACACATTTTATCTTCCCATAAAATTTGGTATCAGAACTCCTAAGCGTGTGTCACAGTATAGACCCAAAGTAGGTGCTTCTTATGGTTTTGATATTTGTGTCTTCAAAAGTGATAGGTTGAAACAATCCCCAGTGTGATGGTCATTTCAGAAAATAGCTCTAGCCTCGCTAATGGACTAATGTCCTAAAGAGATTGGAGGAAGTGTGCTCCCCCTTCTGTCAAATGGGAGCTTCAAGAAGGTGCCATCTTTGAAGTAGATTACCTCCTGAGACACCATGTCTCCTCGCACCTTGGCATTGGCTTTCCCAGGCTCTAGGGCCGTGACTGATATATTTTTGGTGTTTGTAAGCTAGCTTTGGCTATAGTCTTTTGTTATAGCAGCACCAATGGGCCAAGACAGTGCTAAAAGGCTCAGTGAACTTGGATGCTCATTGTAGGCACCAGTCTTGTGGGGTTGGTACCTGATGGACAGAAAGACGAAATCTGTGCAGATCTCTCTGGAGGATGGTGCTGCTCAGGAGAGGCACAGCAGGGAGAAATCTTTGAATATCACTAGCCTGCTGTCGTTCCTGTGTCTGGATGACACTGTAAACAATCAAGTTTATTTGTCAGCCATCTGTTCAAGGAATTGCATGAAGCACCAAGATAAATGTTCATCTCAAACGAGAGAGAAGATGCCTCTTGCGACGGGAGCATGTGACCGCCCGCATTTCACAGAAGCCTCAGCGAAGAAGTGGCTGTTGGATCAGTTGAGAACTTCGCTTGAGGGTTGTCACTGAGGCAGCAAACCCTGAAATGGGCTGGCACATGCTCATGCCAGGCTCTGTTTAATGAACACATTGTTACCAGTAGCTCCACTCTGTATTTATAGCACAGGATTTCGCTAAGAGCCTATGATGAAACATTATGCAGAATTTCATACAAAATGTTTCTAAAAGGACTTATAGTTATGGAAGCTTGACACTGATACAATGACAGGAAATAAAAACAGGACACAACACATAGAAATATTTTTATGCAAACATGTACATATGTCTGTGTCTGTATCTTTACACAAAGACTAAAAGTCTGGCTACCCTTAGATCATTGAGTTGTAGATGACTTGGGGTTTTTATTCATTTGCATTTCACATTTTGCTACCACGATGATATAGTGGTTTCTGTGTCATTGTATCTTATAATCAGAATATAAAGACGAAATCATCTTTAAAATGACTTCTTCCTGTTCCTGCCTTACCATAGGATTATAGGAGTGTGCCACTGTGCCTGCCTAATGCTGTATCTGATCATGTCACCTGTGGGGTATGTCACAAAAATGGCTTTTGAAGGTCTCTGCCCTCTTCTAGAGAGCTGTGTGAATGTGTCTGCAGCAGGCAGACTGCTGGTGTTGCCCATTGCTTGGCCTGCTCCTTGTGTTGGGGGAGGAGATAGGCCTGCAGGGAACATCTCCCAGCCCACGAGGAAGGGGGAGGCAGGTGAGTCTGGCAGTCAGACGGCCTCCTGGATTTGGGGGTGCCAGTGTGTTTTGGTTCCAAGCAGTTCTGCTTTGTTCTGGCTTCCTTTATGTTACCCTGTAATCCTCCACACACCAGCAGAGAAGCTCTCCTTCTGATGCAATTCTGATCAACCCACCAGCGTGCTTATTTATCGGGGTCTTGTCAAGAAAGGGTAAAAAGGGGGGTCACAGCAGCAGCATCCAGAATGAGAAGCAGAGAGAAGCGTCATTATGTTATTGCGCCATACTGGCTAGAGTGGGGTCAAAGGGTAAATACCAGCAAGAAGCAAAGGTTGTCCAAGGGATGTGTCAGCCTGAAGGACAAGAAAGACTGAGGTCCACACATAGCCTCTAGCCAGGGTGCAACTCCTGGGAGACGGTAGAGGGCACTAGAGGGCACAGGTGGGAGGGAAGCAGAGGAGAGAGATCACTTCTCAAGGGCCACATCAGTGGGACCAAATGGGAAAGGAACACTTCGCACAGTTCTTTGAACCCTGCAGTTAGGCCTCGCCTGCTGAAGGCGGAGTGTTCTTTCTGATGGTGGACTCTATCTTCACGGCAGAGGCATCAGGAGAGGTAAGAAGTTGCTATGGCAAATGTGAGGTGCCCCCCACCCCAGCCTCATGTGTTAGGTCACCTGGTCCCAGCTGGTGATGCTGTTTGGGGAGGTTGTGGGGCCTCTAGGGTGGGAGGCAAAGCTGGTGGAGGGAGGTCATGGGGGTGAGCCTTAGGGGGTGAGCCTTGGCCCGCTTCCTGACCAGGCTGTCTATTTCCTGATCGAGGCCATATGAGGACCTGCTGCTGTGAACTCCTGCTGCTATAGACTCAGTGATTCCAGCCACCATGCTTTCTGCACCATATTGGGCCTCTATCATCTTAATCCTGAGCCCAAACAAATGTCTCGTCCCTTAAGAGCAGCAAGGAAAACTAACCGAGGCATGTCATCCTAAATCCCTAGATGATGATGATGTCGGCATGGCAACCAGGACCACTTCAGCCAAAGTGGACATCCATTGGCGTCATATTGTGCTATACAGGTGTGGAAAGCAGTCTGTCTTCTGGGGTGGGAAAGGGTTACACTTTGCTAAGGGTAAGTCGAGGCAGAGCCTCTCGAGAATGTAGCCTCCAAAGTTCTCCAGAGCCAAGAGTAAGGCTACTTGTAGGCCAAGGCCAGAGGGGGCCGGAAGATATGTTAGAAGGTCTTCTTTGGATAGCTTAATTATGCAACAGTGTGTTTTGATTGTGATGCTTCTATGTGATTTTTGTTTCTCTGAAGTGATTATTCAATTACTTAATGTTTATTGAGTAAACGAGGTCTCACAGGTCAAGGTTTCAAATGTAGTTATTATAAATATTGTCATCAGTGTTAGTATTCATATGTTACAGGCTTTTGTGCTCATGAGACACTTTCAAGGTAAAAATCACACTTACTATGATACAGCAATTTGTGAGATCAGGATTTATTTTCCCTACACAGACAGGCGACAAAAATGAGGTGAGACACATCCAAAGCTACATAGCCACCAAGATGCAGAACTGGGGTTTTATTCTATTTTAAAATTAATTTTCTTAGTATACTATTAAAAGACATTTCCTGTCCTGCCCACCTGGTCCCCAATAATCACACAGAGGCTGATTATTACTTATAAATGGTTGGCCCATAGTTCACGCTTGTTACTAACTAGCTCTTACATTTTAAGTTAATCCATAGTCCTTATTTACACTCTGCCACATGGTGGTACCTGTATTAGCGTGGCACGTTCATCTCCTGCATCTGGCAGGCGACCCTCTGACTCTGCCCTTCTCCTTCCCATCATTCTTTGTTTGGTTGCCCCGCATACACTTCCTGCCTGGCTACTGGCCAATCAGCGTTTTATTAAACCTATTTGAATGACAAATCTTTATAGTGTCTAAGAGGATTACTCCACAGCAGCCTACAAAACAATGGGGTTGATTAGGGCACTTTTACACACATGCATCGTGATAGCATATCTGTCCTATTTATACCCCACTGTCCTCACCTGTACCTCCTTGCTCTGGGCTGGTGTCCCTCCCTTACTGCTTCCCCCACCCTTTGCTTTCTCATCACATGTACTTTCTAAATCTGGAGTCTGCCCATGGAAGAAGAAAAACAAGATATTTTTGTTTCTTGTGGAATTAGACTTCTAAAAATGTTTATTTCATTAATAGCAATTTATTTATTTAATGTGTATGTTTGTGTGAGTCTATGTGCCCCATGTGTATGCAGGGGCCCTTGGAGGCCGGAAGAGGTTATCAGATCTCCTAGATCTGGAGTTACGGGTAGTTGTGGGCTGTTGTGGGGATGCCAAGAGCCAAACTCAGGTCTTCTGTAAAAGCAGTAAGTGTTCTTAACCTCTGGAACCATCTTTTTTTCCCTGGGGTGGTTTAAATGAGAATGGGCCCTATAGGCTCCTATGTTTGAATGCTTGGTCCCTTGTTAGTGGAACTGTTTGGGAAGGATTAGGAGGTACGGCCTTATTGAAGTAGGTGTGGCCTTGATGGCGGAGTTGTGTCATTGGAGGTAAGATTTGAGGTTTCAAAAGCCCATACCAGGCCTAGTCTCTCTCTCTCTCTCTCTCTCCTCTCTCTGCAACTTACAGATCAAATGTGAGCTCTCATCTACTTCTCTAGCACCATGCTTGCCTGTCTGCATGCTGCCATGCTCCCTGCCATGATGATAATAGACTAACCCTCTGAAACTGTAAGCAAGCCCCCAATTAAATGCTCCCTCTTATAAATTTCCTTGGACATGATATTTCCTCAGAGCAATAGAGTAGTAACTAACACACTGCCCTAGATCTGGAATTTTAACCCTACTTTTTTTTTTTTAATTCACTTCTTTTACTCCTTGGGATGAAATGATTTCTTCCTGGGGAGCCGGATAGGGCAGACTTTCTAGTGATGGAGTCAGCACAGAGTTTATAGTATCTCCGCAGATTCTACATCCTTCTTATCATTGTTTCTTGTAGACATGAAGGGGCAAGATCCAGGGTTGTGTGGATAGAGAAATGAGCACGTGTTTCTTGTCTGTAGCCACACTGATCTCTTCACTCTTTTAATAGATGCTTACCAAACACCCGCGGCATGTCAAGTGTGGAGCCAGGCACTGGGGTCCAGTGGGCCGTGAGATAGAGTGGACCCTGCTGTCACAATGCCCAGAAGGGAGGGAGACACATAGGTGTTCAGTGAGACATGACTCACTCTACTGACGTCAGTGATGAGGTTCGGTGTGCACTTTTAGACAACACGAGCATCTAAAGAGGACAGATTCAAACTAGGGGATTCTGGAATTGTTTTCTGGAGAGAGCCATGTTAGGAGTGAGAGAATAAGCCGAGCGAGCTTTAGGTCCCACGGAACATGTACTTCTGAAGAGCTGAAAGGCCCGGATACCCAGCAAGAATGAAAGAGGAAACCGTGCTGATGAAATGGTTGGGGCTAGGTGATTCAGGGGACATGAGGGTTTCTATCTTTAGTCTAAGAGTAAAAAAAAAAAAAGTCAATTGAAAAAGGAGCTAAATGATGTCATTTGTAGAATGAACATTCTAATAAATATATTGGTCTATTCAGGAGAGGTTTATGTGGGCTGGAATCATTCAGGGAATGTGAAGGAACAGAGAAGCCAGATTTAGCCCATTGGAAAGGGCTTGATTTGGCTGATTCATACAAATAGAAGGGACAGAGGAGGGCATTCCAAATAGGAGAATGTAGTGATCCAGACAGAGCTTGGATACAGAAGAAAGCAGTGTCTATCCATGCCTCTAGAATTTCTGTCTTATTAAAGTTCTATTGCCAGCCTGATATGTCCCAGCGGCAAGGCCTATGGTCTCAGAGGTCTCAGAGCTGAGATGGTTGGGTTTTGTATTGAAATCTATGGAAGTGGTGACCATGGGCTCAGGAGCACAGAGAAACCCTTGTCAGCACCAGCATGGAGATCCTGTTATAACCATATCCTGTTACGGGCTAAGTTGTATCTCTCCAAAAGGTATTGCCTTCCTAACATACAGCAGGTCAGATTAGGGCCTTATGGCAAGTAGAGTTTTTGCAGATATAATCAAATTAAGATAAAGTCATTGGGTACCCCCTAATTCATAATAGGAGTGATATTCTCATTAGAGGCAGACTTGGGTATATACTCAGAAGAGAGGGGTCCATGTGATGCAGAAATGTCCAGGAGAGTGCTGTTTGATCACAGAGCCTGAAAGTAAAGTCTGGCCATAGTCAGGAGTGTTCAAGGTTACCAACAGACCTAGAAATGAGCGTATCCTTACAGGTTCTCGAGGGACACGGCTCTGCTGACACTTGGATTTCAGACTCTGGCCACCAGAATTGTGAGCCAATCAATTTCTTTTGCTGGAAGCTATTTACTAGGTGGTACTTTGTTACTCTTGGAAACAATGGCAGGGTCCCTTTCATGGATGTTTACTTGTCTTAAAGTTTCATTTTCTTGTATTAGTGCACCCCGCTGAGTGACCTTAGTGACCTGCTGTCCCCAAGCTCTGATAGCTGATGATGGCACAATGAGACTGTTGGGAGCTGTATGGGCTGGGGAGGGACCAGAGGCCACTCAACAGTATCTGAGGAGAGTTTGATGAAGGGACACCACAAAGTTGTGTATGGTGATTTTTTTTTTGTGCTGAAATGTGATTTTATTTGTATTTTAATAAATAAAGTTGCCTGGAGATCAAAGGTAAAAGCAAGGCATTAAGCAGAAGTCTGGCAGTTGGTAGCACCCACCCTTAATCCGATCACATGGCAGACAGAGTCTCTGTGTGGTCAAGGACACAGCCAAGCGGTGACCCATACCTTTAATCCCAGGACCAACCATAGAGACCTGGAGGTCTGTATAGACAGGCAGTGACGAGGAAGTCATGTGGTTGGGTTTAGAGCCAATGAGAAGGCAGAACAGAAAGGCAATAAAAAGACGGGTCACACAGGAGGGCTCTTTGGGGATGGACAGGAGCGAGTGGTAAGCTAAAGGCTATTCACTAGTGCTCTGACCTCTTGGGCTCTTAACTCTGTATTTTGTCTACAGTCGTGGACAAGGGCAGGAGAGGGGTGGCTACTGCCAACCAGGTCATTACTACTCACTCGGGTACCATTACCTTTTTAGGCCGAGCAGGCAGGTGGTGGGTCCCAGAGCTTGGAGAGCCTATGGTAACTTCAGGAGGTGGCTGCTGTTGCCAGAATTCCTTCCCTGCAGATGTGTAAAAGACATCTATTCCCCCCCTCATAGGCCCCAATGGCAAACCAAGGTGTGGTTCCACCAAAGCTTTATATAGCGAACCAGTGACTTTGGTTGAGTATGCGGGTGTGGTTGACCCTGTAAGTGCTGAGGGGAAAGGTATCCTGGCAGATGAGAGCCAAGGGATACCACAAAGTCACATCGTACAACAAACCTCACACAAGAGATTTGTTGGGAATGATACAGAGGTGGCTGCCTCTGCTTGGGTGAGAAGCAGCAGAAAACTGAGTGGGAGACAGGCTTATATAGGGTTTTTTTGGGGGGTGGTGGTGGCATTTTTCAGGGTGGGATTTCAAGTACTGAGCTTGGGGTAAACTCAGGGATTGGTGGGATTTTGAGCTCAGGGACTGGTGGGTTTTCAAAATCTGGAAGTGAGCTCAGACTTTTTTTTTTTTTTCCCTGCAGACTCCAAAGCAGCTGCACTAGGAAGTCTCACCCAGAGTGAAATGATGGCTTCTCATAGTGCGTAGATGGAGGGATCTGTCTCCCAGTTCCCTCTGGTTATCTTCCCAAGCCTATGCACCCTAGCGCCTCCAGAGGCCAGGCACAGTTAGGGCTGGGGTACGTACAAATGGCTGGGGGGCCACTGGAATCCTAGGCAAGGGTCCAGTGAAGGCCTGCACCCCGTTCTACTCTAAGGTGATGGCAACAATCAACAGGCCTGGTCTGATAGTCTCTTGCAAGCAGGCACAGCTGATTTGCTGACGATGGTGGCCGTTTGGTTCAGGGGACCTCATTCTACAGCATCTGCCTACCAGGACCTGTGCCTTCTGTGGGGGCAGATGGCCCTTCGCTTGCAGAGAGAGAGGGAGGGAGCCCAGGGGCCACCCAGCGGGCTTCCCTTCCCCAGACTGTGTCCTCTCTTCCTTGGAGCTTTCTCACTCAGTGCTTTGCTGCTGCGGCTCCCATGAGCTCTTCGGGATTATCTCAGCACCTTGGTGACATACCAGATTTCCAACTGTCTTTTCTTTGTCACATGACCTGTCTTCCCATCTGATATGGGCAAGACAGTTTTGCCTTCTCAAAAACCTGCCTCTGCCCATCATATCTGGTTCACTTACTTGTTATGATGTTAAGGCTCTCTAGGACTTAGCCCTAAGCACCTTTCCCCTTTCCCCTTTCTCATGCTCACACACTTGCTGCATCCTCCTCTGACCACACCATTTCTACTTCCCTGTTTTGCTGATGCCATCTGAGGAATATAATTCCCGGACAGTTCAACCCACCTCCTCTTGCGGCTTCTTTGGTTCATCCCCCACTTCAGCCATGCTACTTACTTCTCTGCTACAATGGTTCTCCCGTCCTGCTCAGCACACCAGTCAATTGCCTTCCACACTGTAAGTTCCACAGGGGCAACTAGTGGCTTCTGTCCACTCCCATGTCCCTGCCTTGCAGTCTCCATCACACAGACTTTCTTTCATTCATCATCGCCTCTTGGTAGATGTCCACAAATGAGTGGAGGCTATTCAGATCCCACAGTGTGGGTAATTGGAGGTTGGCTGTGAAGTCTGTGGTAAGAGTTCCAGAATGTCTGATCTTTTTCACTGCCACAAGTTCAAACCAAGGTGATCCGGTGACCGGGGAAGCAGTCTGTGGGAAGTCTGAACAGAAACACAGTGTCTCTCCTTCCCCTTTTGTGCCTGTGATTTTTGTCTCATGGCCTTGAGTTGAAATTTCTCTTGGAAACTTGAAACACAACCGAAATAGCCTCTTCTGTGTCACCCAGTAATAAGGCTTTCCAAACCCTTCATTTTCCTGCAAACATCTCCCTTGAAAATCAACTCTGCTACCAAGTGGGGCTAATTCAGCTGCCACCCATGCGGATGCAGTTGTGAGCAGGAGTTTAAATGGGACATTTTTAGCCTTTCCAATATGTCAACAAGCTAAGAGTTTCATTCATTTAAAAAAATGTAAATAAACGCAGCTGCATCTGGCTGTGTGGACAATGAGAGGGAGACAACAGTGCTAAGCTAAGTAAGAAGGGCTGTGCCCTGACAGAAGCACCCCGCTCTGAGGAGAGGTAGGGAGCGTTAACAAATACATCCAGAAAACTCATGTGGTAAAGCTCGTACCTCTAGCTCGTCTTTTTTTCCACAGTGGGAGCTAGCGGAATTCATAACGACTGCTTAAGAAAAACAAAGAACTGACTGCTTACCAAAACCAACGGATTAATGGTAAAAGGAAATTCATATATATCAAACTTGTGCATTCCAATTCTCCATCACTATGCTCGAGTTTCTTATTGGAATCCTCTTATTAAGTGTATTAGTCAGGGTTCTCTAGAGGAGCAGAACTTATAGAACAAATCTCTCTCTGTATATAGAAAGGGGATTTATTAGAATGGCTTACAGACTGTGGTCCAGCTAGTCCAACAATGGCTGGCTCTGAATGGGAAGTTCAAGAATCCAGTAGTTTCTCAGATTACAAGGCTGGATGTCTCCGCTGGCTTTCAGTACACACTGGAATCCTGAAGAAGTTGGCTCTAATGCCAGTGAAGGAATGGACTTGCTAGCAAGGTGAGGGTAAGCAGGCAAAGAGCAAAAGCTTTCTTCTTCCATGTCCTTAAGTAGGCTTCCAGCATAAGGTCTGGCCCAGATTAGAGGTGTGTTTTCTTGCCTCAAGATCTAGATTAAAGGCGTGTCTTTTCCCAGTTCAAAAGATCTGGATTAAAGGTGTGTCTTCCTACCTCAGAAATCTGGAATAGAAGCAGATCTTCCTATTCCAAATTAAGCAAATATCCCTCACAGGTGTGGCCTCTATGTTTGGGTTTTAGTTCCAGAAGTAGTCAAGTTGATAATCAAGAATAGCCATTGCACCAAGTTAAGCAGTGTTCAGGTTTTAAAAACTAGATTACCAGAAATCAGCTTCAAAGTCTGTTTGTTTGAAGATATAATGCTGCTTTTCATAAAAGTGTCATTGGGCTAGAGAGATGCCTTTGTAGGTAAAGTTACCTGCCTTTCTAATGACCTGAGTCCCATCCCTGTAAGTTGTCCTCTGATCTCCATGCATAAGCCCACCCCAATAAATAGATAAATAAATAAGGTGTTTTTTTTTTTAAAGTCATGTAGCCAGGTTCCCGAGTTGGCCCACTACAGCCATTCATTATCATCATAATATTGATTCCATATTGTGTATTTGCAAGAAAATATAGCAAGAGAACATTTCCAATGCCATATTTGTATTTACATAAGTAATTTAATCTCCTGTTGCTGAAATATATTGACAAAGGCTTTAATTTTTACTAAATGATGGTGTCTATGGAAAAGTAGATTGAATTAAAGGCTGAAACACACATGGATGCTGTGGTAGGGATTTTAAAGAAAAATTTGGGCCCTTTCCAAGGCTTGCTAATTTGTTGTTATATGTTCCTTTTTTTTTTTTTTAACAACCAGTATTAAATCATATTTCCAAATATGTAGTATCCCTTTCCTAATACGGATGTGTCATTGAAACTACTTTGTGGTTATCATTCATGATTAAGGCCATTTTCGCTTTGGCTTATACGTGGAAGAGACCAGGGATACAAAGGAGGGACGGAAAAAAATGAGCAAAGGTGAGAAGAGAGGAAAGAAGCCTTAAAAGGGTCAGGCAGCATACGAAGATGCCACAACTGGCTGGAAACTGCGCTGTGTCATCAAAAATGCGATGCCTGCAAAGAAGAAACAGCTCTGGGTTAGATCCCAGAGGCCCCTGCGGCCACAGCCCACACAGTTGCCCGGACTGCAGGGGCAGCAGAGCAACCAACACGGACAGCCCCCCCCCCCAGGTGGCACAGAACAGATTCACAAGCCGCCGCCGGGCCTTTCTGGTTTCGTGACTCACTGCATCCTCATCAAGAAGTCTGAATTTTGTGAGTGTAATTTTGACTTTTTTTCTCTCTTTCATGTTCATACTAACTGCTCATCCTATTCTGAAAATGTTTTTAGGTTTTTCCTATCCTTCGCTCTTCATCACCAACCTCACACCCAATGTACTCAAATGCTCGGCACCTTTGTTCTGACTTGATGCCTTGGTTTAATGAAAGATCGTCGGACCTTCCCACCAATGAAAGCTCAGTGGATCCCAGTTTTCTTCACACATTGATGCTTCCTTCCTGTGTTGAGGACTTCCTAGTCCATTCCCCTGCTTCCTGCCAATCCGTCACCTTTTCCCCAGGGGCTGGTAGAACCCTTCCTGTGGGTCTAAAGCGCCACAGCCACCCCAGGTTCTGTGCCGCCTTAGCTAATGTTTACCTTCTTGGCAATCCTGGTGTTTTTCCTTCCTGCTTGTTCAACCCTGTTCACTTGTGGGGAGAAACTTGTGCGGATTCTATTTTTAAGGTATTATAGATACGTGCAGTCCTGGCCGCCACGCTGCACTGTGCAGTATCATTGTCCCAGATCCATGTTGTTGGTCTGAGTGAGGGTGTGCAGCACCCAGTGGGAAGATGAGATTTTTCTTTCTTAGGAATTCAGAAATGGAACTGAGAACCAGTGTGGGCATCCGGAATAGGAACACATCACTTAGGAACTCAGGTCCAGCCACAATCCATTTTATGGAAATCTATGGAAACCAAGGGATACAAAGGAAATGAGAGAGCAGGCCAGTTAGGGTTCTTGGTAGAAAACAGTAGAAACCAATTCTAGATAACTTAAACATAAAACAAAACCCAAAACAACAACAAAACCCAAAATAACGTGGTCCGGCCTTGATATGAGGGTTTGTGTCTAGTTTTATTGCATCTTATTCTGCCATGTTCGGTTGCTATCCCTGGGAGGCCTGCTCTCTTCTGAGATGGAGGAGCAGTGGATTTGGGGGAGAGGGGAGATGGTGGGGGCCTGGGAAGAGTGGAGGGAGGGGAGGCTGTGATCAGGATGTATTGTATGAAAGAAGAAAGAAAACAAAACAAAATAACAACAACAATCAAACAGATAAACCAGACTCAGGGAAGGCAGAAGACCAGATCTGGGAAATGGACCAGAGGAGAAGAGGCAAGAAGGCAATCAAGGTGTCTTCCTAGGAGCCCCTCAGGTGGCGTCCATGTGTCCTCCTGTGGCCCACCTCTCCATAGAGCAGCTACAACAATCCTCTTGCTGCTACGTTATAAAGAAATCTGGGGTTTTTGTTGTTGTTGTTTTGGGGTCCTGGCATGAAGTTTGTAAAACTACTGCAATTTCCCGAGTGATCCTCAACCCTGCAGTTTATGCTAATGAGATGACTAAGCCCTTGAATCCCAAGAGACCAATCTTGTGATTGGAAGGCTGGGGCGGACTGACCTCAGGGAAGGTGAAATTTATCTTCCCTGAGGTCACATCAGCAGAAGCCTGGACTCTGATAACGTGTGTCTGAGTCTGTAACGCCCACTGTCCTCCAGTGGGTCTCACAGATGAGGTAAATCTGGTACAGGGCACAGCAGGGTTCTGGATAGAGAACGTATTTTTAGCAAAAAGCCTGTGACAATCAGATTTGAGAAATGAGACATTCAAGCACTTAATGAGAACGTCTGAAGCAGTGGCAGGAAGACCAGGGACTACCCAGTGGGTACACCTGCATTCAGGCCTGCCACGTTGTCTCCATACTGGACTCCAAGTGAACAAAAGGACATTGGTCTTGAGGTTGAAAGATTTCCTACTGCCTGGAGAAGTTTGATAAATGACTGGGGGTGGGGGACCAGAAAGGGCCTCATCACCCTGGGCTTGTCAAGAAGCAATGGCAGCGTTTTCTGATGTTAAGAAACTCTGCTCTCTCCCTTCTCTTGCCCTGGCCTCGCCTGTTAGCTTTATCATAAATCCAACTTGGCAAAATATTCTAAAGGAATGGATGCTGAGAGTGAAACAGGTCTGTAGTCCAGAGGGTTCCAGGCATAGTGGGCAGGGAGGGTCCCTTAGGCTGAATATTCCTACTGAAGCTTTTTAGGATTTAGATTAGTTGTTCGTGGTCATTTTCAGTTTTGATCCTATTGATCTCTTATTAATTACTGATTATTTAGAGCCCCCAGTCACCCTGTGTATATTGTTAGCACTCTTGTACTAGCAAAACCCCTTCGTTAACACATGCCACTGGTGTCCAGATGTCCTTTAGTTCTTTCTCAGAATAATTTAGCAGGGTTCAGTGGAACTTCATCCATCCGTTTGTCCATCCATCCATCCATCCATCCATCCATCCATCCATCCATCCATCCATCATCTATCCATCCATCCATCCATCCATCCATCCATCCATCCATCCATCCATCCACCCACCTATCCTAAGATCTGTCCATTCATCTAATCTGTACAGAGAACTGTGGGGGGCACTGTGCCAGTGTAGGGGAAGGTAGTTATTTAAAAGAAAACAGATCGGATGTTTGTAGATAGGGCTATGGTAGTTGGAATGCAACTGGGCCCATAATCTCATAGGGAGTGGCACTATTAGGAGGTGTGGCTTTGTTGGAGTGGGTATGGCCTTGTTGGAGGAAGTGTGTCACTGTGGGGGTGGGCTTTGAGATTTCCTATATTCAGGATACCGCCCAGTGAGTCAGTTGACTTTCTGTTGTCTGCAAAATGTAGCCCTCTCAGCTCCAGTACCATGTCTGCCTGCATGCCGACATGCTCCCTATCATGATGATAATGGACTGGACCTCTTCAAGTGTAATACTGGGAGCCACCCCAATTAAATGTTTTCTTTATAAGAGTTGCTGTGGCCATGGTGTCTCTTCACAGTGATAAAAACTTAAACTAAGACAAGGACAATGAATGCATTGATGGGAGCTGATGAAGGCTAGAGGTGATTAATCACCAATTGAAGGCTAAGTGTCTAGCTGCAGCCAGATGGCAGGAAGATCGGAGCATCAGACCCAGAACTTAATTACAAGAATAGCTGTGTCCCAGAGGAGGCTGATTCTCTGTTTGGGCAAGCTTTGCTATTTTGGGGTCAAGGCCTTGAGCTGGGCAGAATTGAATCCTGAGATTCCTGGACTGCTGGCATCATTTGAGTAAATAGCCTTGAATTTCCCAGTCCAAGTCCTCAAAGGCCTGTTGGAGATTCCCTAATAGAGGCTAGTAGCCTCTCTTGCTTTCAGACAAGGCCACTGGGCCAGCAAGTGGGATTGAGCTGTAATACTGTGATCTGGCTGGGGATGTTCTAGGAGGAAAGGGATATGGGGGCCAGAATCAACATTGCGCCACAGGAGCTGGGAGAGAACACACACCCGCATTCCGAGGGGTCCAGATCAAGAGAACATATAAAGTTGGATAACTGAAGTTTATTAGTAGGGACTACTTTCTCACAATACAGGATTAACAACTTGGCAAAGACGCTGGGAAGTGGATCAGTGTGCATGGTTCTTGGAGGTGTGGAAATAGAGTGGCTCATTTTAGGTGAGGTAGAAATGTCAGAAATGCTGTAGCTAACAGTGGAAGAAGTGATCGAAACACCCAGAGAAGTTGGGCATGCAAGGGTGAGAACACTGTCCAGTGCTGGGACGCTCACCAAGGACTACATCTGTGGCAAGTCTGTGGTTATAGTTAGTGGTAGGTCTGTGGCCGTATTTGGTAGCAAGTCTGGGCTATATTTGGTGGCAGGTCTGTGGTCATATTTGGTAGCAGGTCCATAGCTATATTTGGTGGCAGGTCTGTGGCTGTGTTTGGTGGCAAGTCTGTGAATATATTTGGTAATCAAATCCATGACTATTTTCTCCTTATTATGTTTGGTGGGCAGATCTTCAGTACATCTGTTTAACAAAGTAATATAGAGTATGCGAGAGAGTTGGGCATTGGAGTCATCGAGAAGCTCAGTGTGACTTCACAGGTTGGGCTGAGGTTAGTAGGTGCTATCTTAGAATTAGGTTTTCTTATAGCCAAGAGATGATGGGACCCCAAAGTAGTAGGGGCCAGATGCTGGCACTCAACAGAAGCCAGATGGAACATAATTATTAATATAATGAGAGAGAAAGTCAGAGTGGTACCCATGGAAACCTGATGCTTAGGGGGATGTGGAGATGGTTAAAGGAATATACTATCTCTAGAGACATTTGGTTCAGGTCATACAGAGAATCAGGGGGGCTGGAGAGATGGCTCAGAGGTTAAGAGCACTGGCTGCTCTTTTGGAGGCCTTGGGTTCAATTCCCAGTACCCATATGGTGGTTCACAACCATCTGTAATGAGATCTGATGCCCTCTTCTAAATAAATAAATCTCTCTTAAAAAAAAAAAGAGAGAGAGAGAATCAGGAAGCTGAAGGCCACTAGCCTTCTTATAAAGTCCCAATGTTTTGGCACTGGAGAGATGGCTCGATGTTAAGAACACTAGTTGCTTTCATTGAGGACCTGGCTTTGATTCCTAGCGCCCATACAGTGTCTACACAACACACACACATACACATGTGCACACACGAAAATAAACAATTAAAAAATAGAAGTAAAAGCCCTGTCTCCGCTTCGCCATCTATGAACTGAAGAATGAATTTTGAGTCCACTCAGCATTGGGAAGTATGAATGGCTCAAGCCACAGCAAGGGGGGTCAGTGGGAAAGGAATGATGCCAAAGGAGAGAAATCCATTATCAGGACAAGCTTAATGAGTGGATTAAACATGATGGCTGTTTTAGAGCCTGTCTGAGCACTATTTTTCCTAAAAAAATGAAGATTCACAGACAGCAGAACCCTGTTAATTTGGCTGTCTATAGCTTCTTGGGGGAGTTGGGTGGCAGGCCACTATCAGAGATGAATCTTTTCCACCGGAGTCCCTGCTTGTTCACAGAATTCTGCGCCACCACAGCATTGTGAGGTAATATCCATCATCATGCATGGCGGAGAATGGTCCTCGGGAGCACTGGCTGCAGGGCCCTTGAGTGTGTGGATGTTTATCTGGGCTCCTCCTGGCCTCAGCTGTTCCTCTCCTCAATCCTTTTCAGCGTCACAGCTCCGCTGAGAGCGACCGCCTCTTGATTCCCCCTGCTCCAGGTGGTGTATTGCTCTGCTTCCTTCAGCTGGAGGCTGGAACCTCTGGAACAGTGACTGTCTTTCCATCTTTGCCCCCCACCCCCCAGGATCTGTGAGCCCCTCAGGGCAGATACTATGCATCTCCAAACAAAACATGATGTACTGAATGCTCATGGCATATATATATATATATATATATATATATATATATATATATGCAGATGACCAGGCCAGGGAGTGGGGTGTGACTCATTGCCTAACAGCACAGAGCGGACTCTATCTTGGTAGCAGGGTGCTAGGGCTTTCTCCAGCCCTCAGATGGGACGCAGTAGGTCACAGGTGGTTGGCGTGCAGACTTGGCTGACATTTCTGTCACCTCAGCCACTTAGGTGGAGAGAAGCATGTGTTTGCTGCCCAGGAACTCTCAGGAGCTGGCTTGGCCTCTAGCAGCTGGCTTGTTTCTGGACCTCTTTGCCTAGTGATGCTGCTGAGTATGTAAGACGCAGACCCATCATCTTCTTCTTCCCGGTGAGAATTCCTTGCTGCTCACTCTCGAGGAAGAGTCTTTTGGAGTCCTCCAGGGGAGCAGTCCCTGGTTGTAGCATTGCTCCAGGCTATTAGCACCCTCAGCCTTTTACTGCCCTGCTCTGACTCCCTACAAAAACCTGCTGTCC